AAAAAAAAAAAAAAAATTAAAAAAAAAAAAAGAAAGAAAAGGACAAAACTAGTTATTTGGGTTTTCCAAATCCAAATTCCCAATATTTTTCTTACTGGATTCTTACATTTAAATCCTGAAAGAGTTTACTGCAACCTCTGATTACCGGGTTCGAGCTATTCTCCTGCCTCAGCCTCCTGAGTAGCTGGGAATACAGGTGCCTGCCACCATGCCCAGCTAATTTTTTTGTATTTTTAATAGAGACAGGGTTTCACCATGTTGGCCAGCCTGGTCTTGAACTCCTGACCTCAGGCGATCCACCCACTTCAGCTTCCCAGAGTGCTGGAATTACAGGCATGAGCCACTGTGCCTGGCCAAGATCTAACATATACTAGTCAGAAAATAAAATGTTTTAAAAATAAGTTCCCAGGGAGAAAAACTTTTGTGATGCGTATGACAACAGAGAGTTGATTTTCTATCACTCCCACGTGCTAGCTATTTGAAGCAAGTGAAACTCACTTCTTCATCTGTAAAATGAAAATACTAATGCTGTTTCTATACAATTAATTTGAGGATTAAATGTAAAGCAAGTAAACCTGTGCCTGGTACTGATAAGCATCTAGTAAATGTTAGCTCTTGTTATAATTATTATTTTATACAAAAAAGAAATCTTAAAAATTATCCAGGTGAGGCCAGGAGTGGTTGCTTATGCCTGTCTTCCTAGCACTTTGAGAGGCTGAGGCAGGTGGATTACCTGAGGTCAAAAGTTTGAGACCAGCCTGGCCAACATGGTGAAACCTCGTCTCTACTAAAAATACAAAACTTAGCTGAGCATGGTGGCAGGTGCCTGTAATCCCAGCTACTCAGGAGGCTGAGGCAGGAGAATTGCTTGAACCTGGGAGGTGGAGGTTGCATTGAGTCGAGATCGTGCAATTGTACTCCAGCCTGGGCAACAGAGCCAAAAACTCTGTCTCAAAATATATGTGTGTGTGTGTGTGTGTGTGTGTGTGTGTGTGTGTGCATGCTGTGGTTCACACTTGTAGTCCCAGCAAAACTCTGTCTCAAAATACGTGTGTGTGTGTGTGTGTGTGTGTGTGTATGTATGTATATGTATGTGCATGCTGTGGTTCACACTTGTAGTCCCAGCAATTCCACAGTGTGAGACAGGAGGATCACATGAGCCCAGGAGTTCAGGGCACCATTATCATGCCTGTAACTAGCCACTGCACTCCAGCCTGGGCAACATAGTGAGAGCTCATCTCTTAAAAAAGGTAGGGGTGGGGAGCACCTATCAGGTAGAAAAAATAGATGAGAGACATGAATAGGCTACTCACAAAAGAAATACAAATGGCCAGAAAACAAAGGAAAAGAAGTACAAATGTATTACTTATGAAATGCAATTAAAGCAATAAGGGATTAATGTCTGCTGTCTTGAATTAAAAAAAAATTTTTAAGTCTGAGTGTGGTGGCTCACTCCTGTAATCCCAACACTTTGGGAAGCCAAGGCAGGAGGATTAGGCTTGAGGTTAGAAGTTTAATACCAGCCTGGGCAACATAGTGAGACCCATCTCTACAAAAGAATTAAAAATCAGCCAGGCGTGGTAATGCACATGTATAGTCCTAGCTACTTGGGAGGCTGAAGTGGGAAGATTATTTGAGCCTAGGAGTTTAAGCCTGCAGTGAGCTATGATTGCATCTTTGCACTCCAGCCTGGGCAAGAGAGTGAGACTATATCTCATTTAAAAACAAAACGAACACAAAAAAAAACTTCGTTGCCAGGCTGGAGTGCAGTGGCACAATCTCGGCTCACTGCAACCTCCGCCTCCTGGGTTCAAGCAGTTCTCCTGCCTCAGCCTCCTGAGTAGCTGGGACTACAGGTGCGTGCCACCATGCCCAGCTAATTTTTGTATTTTTAGTAGAGACGGGGTTTCACCATGTTGGCCACGATGGTCTGGACCTCTTGACCTCGTGATCTGCCCGCCTCAGCGTCCCAAGGCTTTGGGATTACAGGGGTTAGCCACCGTGCCCAGCCAAAAAAATATATTTTTTTAATGAATTAACAATGGGATATATTTTTTGGTACCAGATTGGGAAAGTTTGGAAAAATGGGCAACACATAATATTAGCTAGGACATGGGAAAAACCAGGCATTCTAATATGGTATTAATGAGTGTAAATGGATACTACAGTTTTATAGGCCAGCCAATTAAAATTGAAAAGACTCATGCCTTTTGTAGAAATACATAAATGAACACAGCAGTATTCATTAAAGCACCTTTACAATAGTGAAAAATTAGAATGGCCTATCCAACTATAATAAAAGACTGGTTCCGTTCTAATAGCTACAATTTCCTGAATACTGACTCTGAGTCAGATATGATACTTGTTTCTGTGAATCTGTTTACGTTCTTTAATTTTCACTTCAAGCCTGTGAGAGGCACAGAGTACTCCATTAAGTTGCTGTGAAACAGGGGCTTTGAAAAGTCCAGGCACTTGCCCAAAGTGAGTTACTAGTCAGTGGCAGAGCCAGAAATTGAAATGACACCAAGGACTATGCTGTCCTGTCCTCCCCATTACAGAGCTATTTTACAAAGTGGGCTAAATCAACAAGGGTATCCAAGATATATTTCGTGGAAAAGCAAGTTCCAAAAAGTATAATAAGATCCATTAAAAAAAAAAAAAAAACTCTTAGTACATTTATATATATATATATGTATATATATATGTGTATATATATATATGTATATATCTTCTTAAAAGTTCAGAGAGATAAACAATAAATTGTAATTATGTGTTATTGCTTAAAGGAATAGAATTACTGGATTCACTATTACGTTATTTTTTCACTGAGCATGTATTTTAATAAGACTTCTTAAAAATCACATATACTTTCTAAGAAAAAGCAAAGTTTTTCACTTTTGTCTCTTAGGTAATTCCAGTGAATTCTGCAGGCTCTCCTGTTGGGGATGTTCCATTCATCCGATCAGGATTGCTGGGATTTGTAGGGCCGGTAAGTGATGCTTTCATGTTGATTTTGTTACATTTGATCCAAATATTTGGACTTTAATTTACAGAACAGAACAAATTCGGATTAGTCCAAGAGTGTTACAGAACCACTTAACTTATATTTAAAGCAGTTGTTGTAAGAATGTCATAAAATGAGTTAGTGTTTATCATTTCTGCTACACAAGTTCATTTGACTCCTTCAGACTAAGACTTTTTTCTTTATTATTATTATTTTTTAATGGAGACAGGGTTTCACTATGTTAGCCAGGCTGGTCTCGAACTCCTGACCTCGTGATCCACCCTCCTCGGCCTCCCAGAATGCTGGGATTACAGGCATGAGCCACCTCGCCAGGCCAAACTAAGACATTTTTTATTTTCTCCCCCCGCCCCCCCACCATGCTCAATTAGCTGAGCATGGTGGCGTTAATCAAATCTCTCTGATTTGATTGTAAATCTTTTGAGTGAAAAAACAGTTTGGGCCAGGCGTGGTGGCTCATGCCTGTAATGTCAGCACTTTGGGAGGCCAAGGTGGGCAGATCACCTGAGGTCAAGAGTTCGAGACCAGCCTGGTCAACATGGTGAAACCCCACCTCTACTAAAAATACAAAAATTAGCTGGATGTGGTGGCATGTGCCTTTTATTCCAGCTACTTGGGAGGCTGAGGCATGAGAATCACTTGAACCTGGGAGGTGGAGATCCCGCCACTATGCTCCATCTGGGCAACAGAGTGAGATTTTATTTCAAAAAACAAACAAAAAAAAACCAGTTTGCTATTCCGAACATGGTATTTATAGGTACAGGGTTAGAGATAATCAGGACGTGAAAAGCCTGTTCTCAAAGAGCTCACAGTGTACTTAATGAGCCCGAGGACAGCAGAGATCTAAGTCATGGAGGGGATTTATATGAAATCATGGGAAGTAGGATTTTGTTTTGTAAGTAGCAGACAGGCATTATTCCTAGCTAAGCCCATATCCCTCCATTCATCTCTAATTACCTCCTATCCTCTCTTTTCCACTTAACATCTTCAGTCCTATAAGAGATCTAATTTTATTTTATTTCTTCCTTGTCATTAATGGAGGGACAGAGTGGGTGAGGACATAGGTCTAGGAGAATCACTCTCTACACCTGTTGTTCTTGACTTTTTCACTCAGCACCAGGAAATTCTGAGACCCAGCTCCTTTTAGCTTAGAGCTCCATGATTGAGGTCCAAGATGGAGGTCCAAGCTTCGCATCTGTTTTAGAAGAAACAGGGAAAGGTGCAGTCCTCTTCTTTAAAGGAAGATGCCCTGAAGCTGCTGTGCAACACTTCCACTAATTGGTGTGAACTAGTCCCACAGCCACATCTAGCTGCAAGGGAGGCTGGAATTGCAGTCTTTATTTCATTGACCCATGCCTAGCTAAAAATTATCCTGCTGTGAACGAAATGGAGAAATAGACATTGAAGGAGTGGCAGTGACTGTCTTATTCTTTTACCAGCACTGTAGCTTTTCAGGCTGTGTTGGAAATGGCTGCTTTTTTCCTGACATATGGGATGGACCAGTAGCTTGTTGAGGATATGGGCTGTGTCTTACATGGCCCAGTCAGTGTGTAGGGCACTACATTGTGCTCAGTAAATCAGTGAGTGATATTCACATGGAGATAACCACTAGGTAGGTGAATATATGTAAATGGACTAAGAAATTTAGGAATTCTGTAATGAAAAATAGAAGTTAATTTGCTGCAAATGAGCCTGGGAAGATTATTTATACATTGATGCTTTTGGGGATTCAATAGTAGTTCCTTGCTGCTCTGCTTTCTTATTGGAAAGAAAGGCACCTGGAGTGTTCCTTAGACCTTTCTTTATTAGCCTAGTTCTAATCTTGCCAGATGGGAACAGTATTAACCTTACCAGCCGGAAGTTAAGTTCCTCCCTAAAATAAATATGAGTAAATTCCCTTCTTAGGTATCCTGTGAGACCTCATTGGCTATAAGATGCCACTCTTGGGCCAGGCGCAATGATTCATGCCTGTAATCCCAGCACTTTGGGAGGCCGAGGCAGGTGGATCACAAGGTCAGGAGTTCAAGACCAGCCTGGCCAACATGGTGAAATCCTGTCTCTGCTAAGAATACAAAAATTAGCTAAGCATGGTGGCGTGCACCTGTAGTCCCAGCTACTCAGGAGGCTGGGGCAGGAGAATTGCTTTAACCTGGAAGGCAGAGGTTGCAGTGAGCCGAGATCCACTGCCCTACAACGTGGGCAACAGAGCAAGACTCTGTCTCAAAAAAAAGAGATGTCACTCTTTTCCCAACTGATTTCAGAGATGTCAAGGTGTGAAATGCTTTCTCTAGAATCCATAAAATATGGGAGTTGTCTTTTTAATACTTCTTAAGTGAGACTTATTTCAAGTCAGGAAGTTAAAATATGTCTGTTTTATTATTTAAATCATGGAAATCAAAGTAAATCATCATTACCTTTCAGGGTAGTTTGGTGTTCGTAGTTGGGAAAATGGATGGCTTACTGATGGTTAGTGGTCGAAGACATAATGCTGATGACATTGTTGCTACTGGATTGGCTGTAGAGTCAATAAAGACTGTCTATAGAGGAAGGTGAGTAATACAAAATTCCAATGTTAGCACCTTTTAATGGAATCTAAATAGATCTTCACAGGGTGATTTCCGTTGTATTTTGTAGGTTCTCTTTCTAAGTGATCAGAGTGTTTTTGGTTAAACATTGCATAAGCCTGGCTTTTTTTTCCTTAGCCTGGCTTTTAATATATATTTCACAACATCTGGTTCTTCAGCTGTAACTAAGAGGATTAAGATGCAACTATGTCCTCTACTTCAGATTTTAAGTATTACCATTTGTTTAATCCTGAGGACTGAAGAGAATTCTAAAACATTAACTTCCTACATTTCTTCAATGCAAAAGTAGTGCCATTCAGACTAATTGAGATAGATGCTACTCTGTAGGCATTTACATCTAATAATTATTTATCTTACTTGTTTCTAATTAAATTATACCATTTTAATGTGGGAATTGACATAGTGCATAATGTCAAATTCCATGGACAGTCAATTAGATATCTTTTTTCTTTGCTTATTAATGTAAGAAAAGATATTTGCTACATATTTGAGTAGTTGATATTCTATTCAGCAATTTGCAATCATGGGTATATCTTTATTAAACTTGGCATCCCTTTAGTTTAAGAAGTAAGAAAAATTAATGAAACAGTTTCTGAAATGTATAGTTTTTTTGTAGTGGTGTGGCTTCCTATGAGATCTAAAGTCTATGGGGCACTAGACCTGTCTTTGATCACGGTCATGTCCCAGCCATCAATAGTGCCGGACACCTGGTAGGTGTTGGGTGAATGTGTGTGGAAGGAAGGAAGGAAGGAGGGTGTCAGGCAGGCATGCCAGCAGACGCTGCTCTCCAGTGCCTTCCCATTCTTTCATGCATTCATTCAACAAATATTCATTGGGTGCCAACTCTGTGACACTGTTCTAGATGCTCCGGCTGTGGCAGTGAACAAAACAGGCCATGTCTCTGCCCTTGTGAAGCTCATATTCTTGTTGCAGGAAATAGGAACCATATAAACAGAGCAATAGATAATGTGTTAGATAGTGATAAATGCTGTGGAGAAAAACACATTGCGGGTGGGGGTGGCCTACTAGTTTCTATGAGGTGGCCTGGGAGTGCCTCGCTAGTAAGGGGACATTTGAGCGGAGACCTCACTCAGAACCAACTTCATCCTTCCTCCCATGGCCTCTCGGGTCCACTGCGATCTGCCCTGGCCTGGGTCTGACCTCTCTCCCTCCCGCTCTCTGCTTCACCACTTTGCTCCAGGCACACTGGCCTTCTTGCTGTTCCTCAAACCTGCCAAGCTCGTCCCTACCTCAGAACCTTTTCGCTTTCCGTTCCTTCTGCCCGGAAACCTCTTCCTCCAGATCTTCGCGTGGCTCGCGTCCTCACCTCATTCAGGTCTCTGCTCCAATGTCCGCTCCTCAGGGAGGCGCCCCACCCCCCCAGCCACCCTGCCCTCAGTAATACGCCACCCTACACACCACTCCACCCCTTGTTTATTGCAACATATTATTCTGTATTTATTTGTTTGTTCTGTCTCTAACACATAATTGCCACAAAGACAAGAACTTTGTCTTTTTTACCACTATGTCCCCAACATTCATGACAGTTGTGCTTAAACACATTATCTAAACGAATGAATCCTCATTTTGAGAATAATGATTATGACATTTTCTTTCCTAAGCTACTCATTTCGGGTGGCGTGGTGGGGTTGTCTCCTCTCTGTAATTCCAGTTAAACAAAGCAAATAGAACTGGTTGTGAAGGGAGTCCTGATGTGTTTGATCTGTCTCTCTTAGAATTGCTGTGTTTTCTGTGTCTGTATTTTATGATGAGCGCATTGTGGTGGTTGCGGAACAAAGACCAGATGCTTCCGAGGAAGATAGTTTCCAGTGGATGAGCCGAGTGCTGCAGGTGAGCGCCCCTTGGGGTCTGTGTCAGGTCAGCGGTGGCAGCAACCACTGCCTAAGCATTTTATTTTATTAAATCGCCAGTAATGCCACCTTACTCTTTCTCGCCAATCATTGTTCACATATTCGGGGTACTACTAGCAAAATCAGATAATTAATACCATTTCTCCTTGTGGACCACTTAGTATTTTTCTGCTCAGGTTGCCAAAAACAATGGAATTGACTTGCCTCAGCAAATTCTTTCATGCCTGAGTGTTTACTACTTGTGAAAGTTTTAACTGTCATATGTGGAACACATCTCTGGCAGTAATCAATCCACTTGTCAACAGCCAGTTACAGTTTTACTGTGCGCCATAAATGGTGCCAACAGTGTGAGGGATCCAAGAAAATACAAGCTGTTAGCCTTACTCTGAAGGAGCTTTCCTGTGGGGCTAGATATGTGAGGTGAGATAAACCATGGGGGAAGGAGAATCCTTTGGGCTTAGTCTAAGCAATATGTCTCTGATGGGAAGCAGGCTAGAGTGACGACAAGAGCCTAGAAGCATAGACTCGACATCCTGGCCAACATGGTGAAACTCCATCTCTACTAAAAATACAAAAAATTAGCATGGCGGCAGGTGCCTATAATCCCAGCTACTCAGGAGGCTGAGGCAGGAGAATCACTTGAACCCCAGGGAGTTGGAGGTTGCGATAAGCCAAGGTCGTGCCACTGTACTCCAACCTGGTGACAGAGGAAGACTCCATCTCTTTTTTTTTTTTTCTTTTGGTCTGTCCTAGGGAGACAGACTCCATCTCAAAAAATAGAAAATAAATTGTAAACAAGAATCATAGACTTGGAATCCCAGCTCCACTTCTTACCAGGCATGTGCCCTTCAGCAAGTCATTTAACCTCACTGAGTCTGGAATAAACCTGTAAAGTAGGATAAAATTATCTATTTTATAGAGCTATTGGAAGGATTAAATGAGGTAATTAAAGTATACAGTACCTGCACTCAGTAAATAATGATGGTGATTGTTACTCTCCATCTCTACCAAAAAATTTTTTTAATTATCCAGGTGTAGTTGTATGCATCTGCGATCCCAGCTTCTTGGAAAGCTGAGGTGGGAGGACCGTTTGAGCCCAGTAGGTCGACACTGCAGTGAGCTATGATCATGCCACTGGAGTTCACGCTGGGTGACAGAGGAAGACCCTGGCTCAAAATAATAATAATAATGGTAATAATGAGCTAGGTGCTATGATAGTCACCTGTAGTCCAGGCTACTCAGAAAGCTGAGGTGGGAGGATCACTTGCGCCCAGGAGGTTGAGGCTGTAGTGCACAATGGTTGCACCTGTGAATAGCACTCCAACCTGGGGAACATAGCAAAAACCCATCTCTCAAAAAATAAAAATTATAAGTATAGTCTCCAATTAGAGAAGAGCCACTTTCTCTCAACTAATGTTCCCTTTCATTCTCCGTCCCTTCGCTCTTCTTTATTTTTCTACTTCGTACTTATCATCTGGTATGTTTACATTTATTGTTTTCTACATCCACTATAATATAAGCCAAAGCCAAGACTTTTTTGTCTCTTTTGTTCAGGACTCAATCCCCAGAGCCCAGCACCTATGCTAGCAAATGTCATAGTAGGCTCAGTAAATGTTTGTTGGCTAGTGGATGGTCCAAAGAAAGTGTGGCCTGTCCTTGCCATACTTAGGCATCAGTGGAAGTGTTCCCAAGGTCTGTAACTTCTCTATGTGGGGAATTTGAATTTATTAGCTGCTAGTTAACAGCAATGTTGTAGAAACAATGCAAGCCTGAGATGGTGGTAGTGCTAGATGACTTTTTTTTTTTTTTTTTGAGACGGAGTTTCACTCTTGTTGCCCAGGCTGGAGTACAGTGATGCAATTTTGGCTCACTGCAACCTCCACCTCCTATGTTCAAGCTATTCTGCTGTCTCAGCCTCCCAAGTAGCTGGAATTACAGGCACCCAGCACCATACCCAGCTAATTTTTTGTATTTTTAGTAGAGATGGGGTTTCACCATGTTGGCCAGGCTAGTCTCAAACTCCTGACCTCAAGTGATCCACCTGTCTCAGCCTCTCAGAGTGTTGGGATTATAGGTGTGAGCCACCTTGCCCGGCTGCCAGATGACTTTTAAGATTTCTTTTGGCTGGGCATGGTGGCTCACGCCTGTAATCCAAGCACTTTGGAGGCCAAGGTGGGCGGATCACCTGAGGTCGGGAGTTCAAGACCAGCCTGACCAATATGGTGAAACACCGTCTTAAAAAAAATATATAAAACTTTCTTTCTATCCTCAGGGTCCTTAATTCTGAATTATCAGCTGGTATAGCGTAGGCTATTTGTAGTAGAAAATCAGAAAAGAAAATATACTAGTCAGGAAAGACTATGAAGAAGGTAGAATGGGGCAGATCTCTGAAAGATGGCTAAGGGGCAGACGTGCAAAGAGAATATTTTTCATACCAATCATATTTTCAAACAGAAACCTTATTTTGTTCAGAATGAACTTTGAGGTATATAATGGTAGAACCTTTGGTGAATTACACATTTTCTTTTATTATAGAAAAGTAAGTATACCTGACATTTCCCAAGATGTTTGTTACTTTTCCCTGGAAAGCAACTATAGGAATTAAATACAGTGCCAATTTACTAATCCAAATTGTTGTGAAAGTCATTTGGGTTCTGATTTGGGCATGAGATAACAGGCCATTATTTTTCCAGTGTTCGTAATTTACCAGCTTGGAGCATTCAAGTCCATAGTAGAACAGTAATAAGGACACCATGTATTCCAATAGGTTAAAGGTCAGAGGTGGTTGAATTCCAGGTCTGTGTATAATATAAACTAAATACCTAACTTAGCACCTTATAAGGAAAGGCAATTAGTAGATGACTTAACAGATGCATTTTTAATGAGGAATCCAGGCTACTTGTAGCACATTTGCTAGTTTTTCTTGTATTCTAAACAACCAGAAACTTAGGAATTCTGCCACACTTTTCATTTCCCAGTCATCTGTGTTGTTTGGTAGGATAGTCTGAGGATTGCGATTTTTTAAGTCTATTCTTTTGCCCTTTTACATTGTTTATTTTTACCTTTTTTTTTTTTTTTTTTTAAGATGGAGTTTCACTCTTGTCACCTAGGCTGGAGTGCAGTGGCATGATCTCGGCTCACTGCAACCTCTGCTTCCAGGTTCCAGCAATTCTCCTGCTTCAGCCTCCCAAGTAGCTGGGATTACAGGCAACCACTACCACGCCCAGTTAATTTTTGTATTTTTAATAGAGATTGGGTTTCACCATGTTGGTTAGAGTGGTCTCTAACTCCTGACCTCAGGAGATCCACCTGCCTCACCCTCCCAAAATGCTGGGATTACAGGCATGAATCATGCGCCTGGCCCCTTAAATTGTTTTAATAAAAGACCTTGACCATACATGGTGGCTCACGTTTGTAGTCTCAACACTTTGGGAAGCTGAAGCTGAAGGTCAGTTAACTTCAAGACCAGCCTGGGGCAACACAGCAAGACCCTGTATCTACAAAGAATAAAGAAATGAATAAATAAATTAGCTGGATGCCACTGCCTGTAGTCCCAGTTACTTAAGAGTCTGGAGTGGGAGGATCACTTGAGCCCAGTAATTGAGGTTACAGTGAGCAATGGTCATACCATTGCACTCCAGCCTGGGTGATAGAGCAGGACTCTGTCATTCATTCATTCATTCATTCAGCCTTGTCCTTTTTTTACCTGTGACCCTTATAACTGTGAGTTTATTCTACTTCTAGGATTATATTCCTTGTTCAGTAAGACCTATGGGTAATACAGTAGAAACCTCCTAACTAGTATTAACAGTTGGTCAGTTATGGCCAGGCATGGTGGCTCATACCTGTAATCCCAGCACTTTAGGAGGCTGAGATGGGGAGATCACTTGAGGTCAGCAGTTCAAGACCAGCCTGGCCAATGTGGTAAAACCCTGTCTCTACTAAAAATACAAAAATTAGCCAGATGCGGTGGCGTGCACCTGTTATCCCAGCTACTGGGGAGCCTGAGGCAAGAAAATTGCTTGAACCCAGGAGGTGGAAGTTGCAGTGACTCTAGATTGTGCCACTGTACTCTAGCCTGGGAGAAAAAGTGAGACTCCATCTCAAAAAGAAAAAAAAAAAACCCACAATTGGTCAGTTTCATTAAAATGAGAAATTCTTCTAGTATTAAATTTTAATATAAAACATCTAAGTGTGTATTCCTTTGATGCAGAGAAGTGTGATTATGAATACACCAACTTGAGGTCCAGCTCAACTTACTTCCATAAACTATATCAAAATGCATTGTCTTCAGTTTCTGGTTTTCTTTTCTTTTTAAATTTTTTTTAAAATTAAGATATAGAGCACTTTGGGAGGCCGAGGCGGGTGGATCACGAGGTCAAGAGATCGAGACCATCCTGGTCAACACGGTGAAACCCCATCTCTACTAAAACTACAAAAAATTAGCTGGGCATGGTGGCGCGTGCCTGTAGTCCCAGCTACTCAGGAGGCTGAGGCAGGAGAATTGCCTGAACCCAGGAGGCGGAGGTTGCGGTGAGCCAAGATCGCACCACTGCACTCCAGCCTGGGTAACAAGAGTGAAACTCCATCTCAAAAAAAAAAAAGATATAGAGATGGAGTTTTGCCATGTTGCCCAGCCTCTCTTAAACTCCTGGACTCAAACTGTTTTCTCACCTCGACCTCCCAAGGTGCTGAGATTATAGGCGTGAGCCATCATACCTGACCTGGTTTTATTTTAAGTTAGCACCACAATGTGGGTATTTGAAAAATGACTTAAGTAGATAATCCTCACTTTTATTATTAATTTGCCTGACCTATGGACATAGTTTTTTAGGAGCTCACTTTTAGTGTGTCTTTCTAAAGCATAACTCCTTCTGTGTTTTTGCATTTGCATTTGGTCAGTTAACATAATATTTAATTATATTATGTGAAAACAACAAGAACAGCTGTCATAAGCAGTATAGGAACACAGCTGACTTTCAGCAAACATGCAGTTACATGGCTGGGAGCACAGGTAAGCTCAGGGTAGCTTGTGGCCTCCAGTGTTCAGTGTGCTGTGGGCCCCACCCCAGACGTTTTTCAGAGGAGATGCATGGTAACATGGTGAATCACTTAAGTAGGGGCTCCTTCAGAGAGCTGCTATTGTGTTCATAATCAAAATACTTTACCTCTGTTAATTAGGCTTCGTTGGATAGATAGCTAAAAGATTAAAAGAACCAAAACAAATTTCTAGGTTTCTGTCATTGTCACTTAAGAGAGAACATGTTGGCTGGGCATGGTGACTCATGACAGTAATCTCAGCACTTTGCGGGGCCAAGGCATGAGCATCACTTGAGGCCAGAAGTTCAGGACCAGTCTAGGCAGCACAGTGAGACCCCCATCTCTACAAAAAAACTTAAAAATTTAAAAAAGGAAAAAAATCATTTCAAATTAGCCAGGTTCAGTGGTGCATCCCTGTAGTCCCAGCTGCTTGGGAGGCTTAGGCAGGAGGATCACTTGAGCTTAGGAGTTTGAGGCTGTCACGGCTTGTGCCATTGCATTCCAACCTAGGTGACAGAGTGAGACCCTATCTCTAAAAAGAATAAAAATTAAAAAGAGAACATACTGAGAGTTACAAGTCAATATCCACCTTTGTCCATTTAAGTTGTATCTTACCTCTCTTCTTTTAATCTCTGCCACAGCTGAAAGATGTATATTATCTTAATGATTATCTTTAAATCTTTAGATATATAGGATCTTAATGATACGCTAGATTCTAGATCTAGAATACATAGAGAAAGGAAAATCCTAGAGTAAAATAATGGATTATATCAGGAATATGTCAAATGTAATAGAAGTAATCTCATTGAGTGTTTTTGTTTGTATTTTTCTAGGCAATCGATAGCATTCATCAAGTGGGGGTTTATTGTCTTGCTCTGGTGCCGGCCAATACGTTGCCAAAAACTCCGCTAGGAGGAATCCATATATCGCAGACGAAACAACTCTTTCTGGAGGGATCGCTGCATCCTTGCAATATCCTCATGTGCCCACATACATGCGTGACAAATTTGCCAAAGCCCCGGCAAAAGCAACCAGGTAACATGCTGACTTCCAAGACCTAGCACTAAAATTCCAACTTCAAGAAGCGGGTTCTCTCAATATGATTCTTTTTCTAGAATTAGTTTATAAACACTTTGGGAGGCCAAGGTGGGAGGATTGCTTGAGCCCAGGAGTTTGAGACCAGCCTGGGTAACATGGTAAAATCCTGTCTGTACAAAAAAAATGCAAAAAATTAAGCCAGGCCTGGTGGTGCATACCTGTAGTCCCAGCTACTCCAGAGCTGGCAGAGGATGGCTTGAGCCTGGGAGATTGCGGTGAACCAAGATTGTGCTATCGCACTCCAGTCTGGGTGACAGAATCAGACACTGTCTCAACAAAAAAGAAATGAGTGGAAAGGGAAAATGGAAAAGGTTTGTTAAGGCAGCCGGGAGGCAAAGATATCCTTGAGATGCCTTTGGAGCTGTTGTGGAAAGAAAGAATGTGTTTGTTAGGACTAGTCTTGGCTGCAAGTTGCAGAAAAACATAGTAGCAGCTCAGGCAAGAAGCAAGCTTATTTTTTTTTTTATTCAGTCTCCATAGAGACTATCAAAAATTGCCAATGCCAACTATATTTCAAGTCATCATGGCAGGGTATTGGGAAAAGTTTTCAATTAGCAATAATCGTGCCTCAGATAAACCTCATTGGCTGCAATACTGCCACTGCGCAAAGCTGCAAGCTTATTTTTTTGTCAGGTAAAAGAAGTTCAGAGCTAGGTAATCCAAAGGCTAGAGTAGTCACTCCTCAGTCATGTTCTTCCAGCTTCCCATCTTTTTGCTTTGGTGTTATGTCAGTCAACTATTATAGATATGCTACAGAACAAACAACCCTAAAACTCAGTGCCTTGAAGTAGCAAGCATTTGCTTCTTACTCATGGAATGTGGATCTGTTTGGCTTGGCTGGGATCCTCTGGACTGGACTTGGCTCCAGGCTTATGTTAGGTTCAGAGCTGCTCCATGTGTCTCCTCATCATGACACCAGCAGCTACCTGGGCCATATTTTTTTCAAGGCAGATGGCAGAAGCAAGAAAGCAAGCCAAACCACATGAGCGTATTTAAAGCTTCTGTTTGTGTCACATGTCCTAACATTTCATTGTCCAAAACAAGTCAGACCTTGAAGTATACTTCTCCCATCCAGCCATAACTAGGACAAGAAGGAAAGGAAGGATATGGAAAAACAAAATAATCTGCCACAGCCATCCTTAGCAACTGCCCTGGGGCTCATTAGGCTCCCCAGCCTCTACATCCAAGCCAGCAGGTAGGAGGAAAACATAAAGAAAGAATACTCTTTCCTTCAGCATATTTTCTAGAAATGGCATATATTACTTCCTCTTACATGTTATTCTGCCACAGTAAAGAATATAGTCTTTATTCAGGCATGTGTCCAGCTAAAAACTGGGATTTCTGTTATTAAGGAAGAAGAATAGAATAGATACTAGAATTGATAACTAGCAGTTTTTGCCATAAGACGTTTACAGAATTCTATGAGAAAATCAGAAGGCATATTTACAGGTACGGCAGTGTCTGCAATTAGCTTCCTGGAGTTACTGCTTTTAGTATCTTTCATTCTCTGTGACCCATAGATTCAAAGTGCACACAGAAGAACCTGAAGGAACTGCTGCTGAATTAATTTTATTGTTTTAAACTACTGCAAAATTCACTTTTTAAAATACCATGTCTTTATTTTATAATGTGAATCTCGGATTGCACAGTTTACGTAATCAAATGCACTCTGAGTCCCTGCCTGTATAAAAGGCTGTCTCCAACATGATATAGCTATAATTTATCATGAAGTTTCTTAGGGTGGAATAGTGCATATTTACTTAAAATTGCAGTAGATACTTT